ACTCATGCTTGCGCGCGCGCACGCTCTCTCTCTCTCTCTCTCTCTCTCAAAATTACATTTTAAAAAATTTTAATAAGTAAAGGGCACCTGGGTGGCTCGGTTAAGTGTACAACTTCGGCTTGGGTCATGATCTCACAGCCTGTGGGTTCAAGCCCCACATCAGGCTCTGTGCCGACAGCTCAGAGCCTAGAGCCTGGAGCCTGCCTCAGATTCTGTGTCTCCCTCTCATTTTCTCTCTGCCCCTCCCCAACTCGTGCTTTGTCTCTATCTCTCAAAATTAAATAAACATTTAAAAATTTAATAAAGATATGCAAAAATGGCAGTATCCTAAGTATCCAAATGTTTCCCTTACAAATGAATGAATGAGTGAAGTGCACAAGAGGCTGAAATCTGCTATAGCTCGGTTTCTCAACTCTTACACTGGGGTCTAATAAATTCTGCTCCCTGACTATCCCACAACCACTGGGGCCTCAGGGTAGGCCCAGGAGGTTCACTTCTTCTGCACCATCAAAACCATGGGTATTTCTAAGAGGAACTGACTTCTAGGACTCTGCAGGCCACTCCCTGAGAAACAGTCAAAACCTTTCCCCCAAATACCATTAAAACCCAAACATCTTTCACAAGAAGACTAAAAGGGGCCTAGCCCAACGCCTCGGACTATGGGGTGAAGAAATTAAGAGCCCCATCTATGCAACCAAGAAAATTCAAGATGCCTCGTTCCTGACCATGACGCAAGCCTGAATAATAAAAGGTCATTTGCACCTCTCGAAGATCACGGCTCAGATAGCATTGATTTCCGGCATATGGGGCGGGGGTGATCCCCTCTTTGTCACTTTTACGGGGACACCGTCTATGCCTCAACAAATTCCAAAACAGCTACCGTTACCCACTAAGAGATTCTGCAAATGGAAATCAGCCACGCCAGCCCCTCACTCTGGGTGCATTTAAAACAGGACAGTGAGAAACACATACCTCATGCTCACAGATTTTGATGACTACTTTCGCTATCTGGGTCAATTTGTGATTTCCTAAGGGAATAAGAAAATAATGATTAATTCAAATGGAAACACGTTTGTAACACGCGGCTTTGGGAGTACACTTCCCCTAACAACCTTTCAACTTGCTTTCCCCCAGGATTAAGCTTTTAAAGGCTAAAACACAGGATTCTGGCTCCTAATATCAGTTTAACTTATGTGACTTTTCCCAGAAACACTGACCAGTCTTTGGTGCCTCAATGTTACCTCTGAAACTGAGCAATTTGTGTGGGATTCCTACAGTTCACAGATGAACATTTGGAAGATGCTTTTATATTCAAAAGGCTCCAATTAGTGGAAAGGAGCCTTATTCGCCCATTGTTCCAGACTCCAGCCCATGAAGGGCAACAGAGGAGAGAAAATAATTAAATGAGTAGCTCTGCTACGTCTCGTGCCTCAAAATACATTTTCTTATTAACTCAAGAAGCCTTATCAGGAAGCAGGTATGAATGTTCCCATTTCATTAATAAGTATGTCAAGGCTCAGGAGTCGTTGTTTACACGGGACTACTTGGCTAATGAGTTGAAAATCTGCCCCAGATCTAACTCTAAATCCCTCACCTTCGCTGAACCGGAAGACAGGATGGCAAAAAACAAACAAACAAACAAACAAACTGTGCTTTCTTCAAACATGATGGTGTTTTCAGAAAACATAAACTTGTTGACAAGAAGATGTTCCACACACACACTCCTCGATGTCTGGCTTGCTTTAAAAACTCACAAGATCCGATAACTCTGTCCAGTGGTGACCCCCTCAGACCAGAAAGGAGTTCCCATTCTGTACTCTCTACTCTCTGCCTGGCCAATGGCCAACCTGGCCATCTAATCTCATCCACTGGGTTATACAATCTTACCCAGCCTTTCTATATATTTGAGTTAATAACCTTTACACAGATTTTCAACCAAGTGCCCCTTTGCCTCTTTCTCCCCTCCCCACACGTCTGGCCCTGCTCCTGAGCTAATAATGTAAAACACGTGCTTTTAACAGCCATCCACCCACTCATACATCTTCCCTTACACATGAGCTAACCATCTACACTAGGACTACACAGGAAGAAGGCAGGGCTTCTGCTCTTAAAGATCTTACGTCCTTAAAAAAAAAAGAGAGAGAGAGAGATCTTACATCCTGGTGAGGAACTCAAACGAATAAAAATAGCACCATCCAGGAAGTGTGATAAACGCTACCATGGGGAAGCACAGGTCCTGTGAGATCTCCTAACAACAGCACCTTCTGCGTCACAAGGGAAGGCACCTCAGAGAACTGACAGGCTGACACTGAAGGACATGAGAAAGTCATCAAGGCAGTGTTCTAGCAGAGAACAAGAGGAACAGAATGGAGCAGGACACGGAGAGCTCTACGTGGCCAGAGGGTAGACAGAGAGGACTGTGGGAGAAGGTAGGGCAACACGAAGGGGGCCACGAGAGGAGATTTTAATGGAAATTCTCTTCAATTCTGTCCAGAAGATTCAATCCACAAAAACGCAACTGACACAACTTTATCCAGAATACAAAGACCTCCTAAAATGCGATAATGAAAACACAGACCACCCAGTTTTTGAAATTGGCCAAAGATCTGAATACATATTTTACCAAAAAAGATATACAGGTGACTGATAAACACATGAAAAGGTACACGATACCGTTAGCCATAAGGGAAAGGCAAATGACCACCACCATAACCGCTCATACCTTCAAGAATGGTTAAACTTAAAAAGACAGACAATACTTGGGGCGCCTGGGTGGCGCAGTCGGTTAAGCGTCCGACTTCAGCCAGGTCACGATCTCGCGGTCCGTGAGTTCGAGCCCCGCGTCAGGCTCTGGGCTGATGGCTCAGAGCCTGGAGCCTGTTTCCGATTCTGTGTCTCCCTCTCTCTCTGCCCCTCCCCCATTCATGCTCTGTCTCTCTCTGTCCCAAAAATAAATTAAAAAAAAAAAAAAAAAAAAAAAAGACAGACAATACCAAGTGCTGGAAATGGGGAACAACGAAGACTCTCCCACACGTGGCTAAAAGAGTGTAAAAGGATACAACCGCTTTGCAGAAAGTTTGCCAAAATGCCTCGTAAACTGAAATATAAACCTACGGAGCAGCCCTACCACACCTAGATATTTACCCATGAGAAATGAAAATGTGTATCCACACAAAGACTTGCACAAGAATGTTCGCGGTGGTTTTATTCCTAACAGCCCAAAGCGGAAAACAACTCCAATATCCTTCAGTATCGACAAAGGGAATGGATCAATAAATTGTAGGTGGATACCACGAAAAACCACTCACAGCAATAAAAAGGAACAAAACCACGGAGACAAACATGCATTAGCCACCCCCCCCCAAAAAAAAAGCTATACTGCATGAAATTATCCAGACACAGAAGAATGCACTAGGACTCCATTTATATAAAATTCTAGACTATGTAAAACTAATCTATGAGGACAGAAAACACGGAGGAAGGTGGACTTGCTGGTACAGGGGAAATGGATTATCAACTCGTTATCTTAAAATGCAGAGACCCCACCATCCCCTACTGATAAATGTTAGCAATCTGTACACAAATGTTCTCAGTTACTGGCCCTGGCACACGAGGAAAAAAAAGCAAGATCTTTCAGGAAAGGTCGGAGAACGGACACGACACGCTCTTCTGTAGGAGCCATCTAAGCCACTCACCTCCATTATAAATGATGCAGTTGTGCAAAATCCACTTTGCGTCGGCCAGGAAAGCTTCTGTACAGCCATACATTTTCTTTTTAGCATTCTGGGGAGAAAACGCCAAGGAGTATAATAACCCACGGGTCTATACAAGCTGCAGCCAATTAACACCTGTGTCCCACATCATTTTTTTTCCTTTCTCCTCTCCCCCGCACATTATTTCCTTCGCAGTCATTTGCCAAATCAACGAATGCTTTTACCCATTTCCCAAGATGCTGTCATATTTGAGATCTATAATCCTATAAAAAGGAAGTCACTGAATTCATCACAGTAACTTGAATTTTGGCCTCTTATATAAGCAACTGTCATTTATCCAGCAGCCCTTTCCAATAAACCAGGATATTTTATATATATTTATACGTTTATGACTAATTGTAATAGTCTCACGTGAGCCTTGTGATGGGAGAACTTAATGACACATTTGATATCATAGCAATTTTACATACGGGGATACTAAGGTATGGTGATATTAAGGAACTGATTCAAAGCTCCAAAGCTACTAATTTATGGAGCTAGGATTCCAACCCTGTCTTTTTTTAATGCCTTCTTTTTCTAAATACCATAAGGGTGTGTGCAACTTTCCGAAACAGGTTTGACTCAGCATTTAGTGGTCAGTAATAAAAACAATACAATGTTTTCTCCGGATCCATGCTTTTCTTTATCCATATTTTGGGGCCAAAAATTTGAAAATCAGCACCAGAGTGAGGTGCATAATCTAAAGTGTTCCAAGAACAATTTTCGCCATGGAACTCTAGCCTGCACTCTCAAAAAACATCTTCAGGCATTAAAGACATATCCGTATCAGTAGAATAAGTTCTAGGGAGTCACGTCTTTATCAGCAATCTGAAGGTTTTCCAAACACTTCATTTTCTCTTTTCTCCTTCCTTCTGCCCTCATTAGCACCTCTGAGAGAGAGAGGAGTAAGAAGGCCTCAAATCAAGCAAATCACTAATTCGTAGAAGTGTGACTTTTTCAGGTATAAAGCTGCAATCACCAGCAGAAGTAACATTTGGAGCTGATCAGTAGAATCCGGCACTCCACTGCAATCCTTGGAAGAATGTTACAGAAGTTATGGGATCAATGGTTCTTCCATCCAAATAAAAATGGCGCAGGGGAAAGGTAGAGAAACCATCTAACTTGAGATGGGGCACAGGAAGTGAGGAAGGGTCGTTAGGCATCTCGATAATTCGGGGCTACAACGGTGAGGTTCTTTGATGAAGGCCAACCTTTTCCAATGTACAAAGATCCATAGGATGGAAGATGTATTCCGCGTAGTCGGGATGCTGTTCCAATGGAACAGGCTTCTGGAATGCATCCGTCTATAAAAGAAAGAAAAGAGGTGCGCACACACACACACACACACACGCACACACACACACACACAAACCCATCATTACTGAGGAAGACAGAGTATTAATAGCAACAAAGTACTTTTCAAATGGAGACAACTTTTCAGACGATACAGTTCTAAGCGTTTCCATACAGGAATGACCTTAGGGAGTACCAAGCTGGTTCAAGTTCTAGTTCTGAAGGGTCATCAATCATCATGGGAGCTGTTCTGGTTTTGTTGTTTGTTTTGTTTTCAATATATACCCAAATTAACAGGTCCTGTCCTCTTCTATTAAGATCAACAAGAGAACACACAATCAGCTACTTTGAACGTGAATGGTGAATAAGGCTTATCAATGTCCTGCAAAAATCCTGCAAAATGGACTGTCAGTGAAATCTAGTCACACCTAGGGATGACACAGTAAATAAAGTCCCCCTAAAGGGCCAACAGATATTTTACACTCGGGGGGAAAATTCAGACATTGAGATTTTGCTCCCCTGTTAAGAAGCCAAATTACCCACAACACAGGGACCATGTCAACATTTTTCACATTGATCCATGTTCTCTTAAGCCCTACGTGAATCAGCTCAAAATGCAAGGCCCGGTTTGTCGATGGGTGGTGCTACCAATATTTAAAAATCTAAAAGAGGGGCGCCTGGGTGACTCCATTGGTTATCCAACTGACTTCGGCTCAGGTCATGATCTCACGGTCTGGGAGTTCGAGCCCCATGTTAGGCTCTGTGCTGACAGCTCAGAGCCTGGAGCCTGTTTCAGATTCTGTGTCGCCCTCTCTCTCTGCCCCTCCCCCTCCTCCTGCTCGGTCTCTCTCGTCTCTCAAAAATAAATAAACGTTTTAAAAAAAATTTTTTTTTT